CCGTCTGCTATATTTATTTCTGTTCACTTGCCAAGAAGATGAGCAAATGCTAAAAATCCCCTTTGGGTATGTCTTTCAACGGGGATACGTCACAGCAAGCTCCCATGTATCGTTTCTGGAAGGGGCTTACAGCTTTGGGTTGCACAAACCATGCACACTCAAACATAAGCAGCAAGGTTTCCATTCTTGTAAAGAATTTACATTTATTTATTTGAAAGACGTCTTATCCAGAGTGACTCTTACAATGTGCAAACAGTGGAAGCCAAACTGATACAAAGGACCTGGAGACGCTACAAGAATCTATAACCTAAAAGATAACGACTATCATAGCTTGATCTAGTTAAGCACAAGTGTAGTCCTTGAGGGGGTGAAAGAGCAGCCTGCTTTGCGTTTTACTTTAAGAATTGACAGGTTTCATGTTGGCTTGGTGTGTTTTCTCTACATTCACACAAATATCTCAAACTAAAACTCAGTGTAACATTGGTAGACTGTGTGTGATTGGATGACATGCCCAGTACTTTAAATAAAAAATTCCCATTAAAAGAGCAAGTAGGCTGACAGGGTACAGGCTTATGAGGGGCTCTTCCTTTTGACCACTGTCCAGGAGACTACTTCTATGGGAAGCTGGGCTAATGCCAGTTTACCACAGGACGTCTGTAATGTTTATGACCAATTCACACAGGGATAAGTAATCTGGGTATAAATGACAAGAGATGGGAGTGGCTATTCAATTTAAGTACTGCTTTTACTCCAAAAAACAAAAAAACAACAACAAAAAGAGCAGAAAACACCTCAAAACAATTAATTTAGCTATCATTTTGTTTACCCTTACTACCTGTCTTGCTGTGAATGTGAATGTGAATGTGCTCTGCCATTAGCTTGGGAATTCACAGCAAACAGTCAACTCAAACAATCAACTCACAAATAAATGCTTAAGTTTGGAGTGCCTCAAAACTTTAAATTTTGTTTTACTTACATGTCAATTTACATGGGTTTAATATAACCTGGGGTTATATCTATAGCTCGTTTTATGGAAGGTAAAAGGAGCAGGAACTCCGTTAATGTCGGGATGCACAGTCTGTAAAAATGACTGACATGGCACATTGGGTCGGGACTAAAAAAACACTGAGAAGCACCAGTAAAAATTGCATAAACCCACCTCCTCATGTAAAACTACTCCCGTCCGAATAGGGCTTAAGATGGCTTCAGGTCAAAGTCAGATCACGATGCCACAACACTCAAGTTTCCTTTTGAGCAGCTCAAGTGAACTGGAATCGCTGGCTGTTCTCTTAAACTCCGCTTTTAAAACTTTCACTGACCTTTGTTTTTTAATGAGATAAAGTGCAGAAAACAAATATGAGTTAAAATAGTCTGTTGGATGCCAAGCATGCAGCCCACTAATTCATTAATGGCAGCACAGTACAAACATAAACATGTCTCTTAAAGAGGTATGCATCTTAATTTTGATAAGAAGTGCCTAAATTTGCACATCCAATATGAGCACCATATCATACTGTTTGAATGAATTATAGGGAATTTTTGGAGTCTGGAAGCTTTTTGCATGCTAATTTGTATTCATTCTGTTTTCTGAACAAGAACAATAAAGAAAAGCCTTTCTACTTTATATTCATACATCTCATGCTCACAGACACTTGAAAGTTTATCTAATTCCCATCCCATTACACACGATTGATTTGCTCTGTGGAAAATAAATCTTCTTGGTATTAAGCTTTCCAGGGTTAGATGCTCCAGCTAATGCTCCTACAATACTGTCATTTTGTACTGCAGGCAAACTGCAATCCCAAACATTATACATGTATATATATATATATATATATACACATGTATATATATATACATGTATATATATATATATATATATATATATATATTATAATGTTTGGGATTGCACTGTTATATATATATATATACATACATGTATCTCGCTGTAGTTGGAACTTTATAGGAAAAGGAAAAAACCTACTGTATTTTCAATGTAAGTCAATGGAACCAGACGTTTTTCCAAGTAATTTTGGGTCATTCATCATGAAATTTACACACATTGTAAAGGGACAAAAGGTATTTTCAATTTATGTCAAAAACTGAAAAACGACAAAAATGGAGATACAAGGTTTTCTTCCGACAGCTGTGATATGTAACTACATGCCTCATGTCTCTCTAATTGATTAATAAATCCATGATGCTTTGCCATTCTTTTTACAAATAAACCTTTTTGAGACAAGATTTTCAGAATTGAACCTACAACACTGTACATCTTTAAAGGTACTATTATTACCATTATAAACCTCTACAGTTGTGTATTATGACCATATAAAGAACTCCAGTTGGTTTTCTCTCTGAGAAAATAAATGGTGATTCCAGAAAAAAAACATTGCCGCTATCGTGCCCTGTGATACATAACAACGTTCCAAACTTGATGTTTTGCACAGTGGACGAGGTTGTTAAGGAGTTGAAATATGAATAATGCTATAGGCACAATACAGGCAAGCTAGCACTCCTGTGCCCGGAAATGATGTCACATGAAATTAAGTCTATTATTAAACATCAATGCTGTTAATTGCCAACACCAACTGCTTAAACTGTAGCCTAAAATGTGGTGGTTTGTGTGCGGTATTTTGGTGAGTTCAGCCTTATGATGTCAATTTTATATGCAGCAGTGTTAGCTGGTGTAGCGAAAGTTTTGTTTCTGCTTCTTAATAATCTGATGATTCAGAGGATCTGGCGAAATTTGAAGGGCAAATGACCATATGACAATATCTATAAGCTTTGGAACATTTCTGTTTACTGTTGGGTACAACAGCCATGATTTTTCAGAAACTCCACTGATTTTTCTCATACAGAAAACTTCAGAGTTCATATTCATAATCAATGAGAAAGAGGCAACCGCATAAATAAAACTACGCATGCCTTTCTGATTCACTCCCATTCAAGAGATGGAAATCATTAACGCTTTGTTTGGTAGTATATTGTGTTTATAATATTAAGTGTGTGTGTGTGTGTGTATATATATATATATATATACATATATATGTATATATATATATGTATATGTATATACACACACAGATAAAGATATCTGAATATCATATTCATGGCACGTTTGTAATCGTGTATATACTGTTCATATAGTTATATGTTATATATTCATATAGTGTGCTGTCTGTTCCGCACTATTGCTACTATATGCACTTCTGGCAGATGCGAACTGCATTTCATTGCCTTGTACTGAGCAATGACAAAGTTGAATCCATCCATCCACCCATCCAAGAGGTGAACCCAAATGGCTTTCCAATACATCTCTCACACAACAGATGTGTTTATCCCCATATCACAGCCATTTCCCATCCTAATATCCACTGGGCTGACAGCATTTAAATTTATTCATCTGCATGAAAGTACGTCATATTTTAAACACTCCAATTTTGACGACAAATCAACAGGGTGTATTTTTCCTCAGAATAAAAATGAGAGAACAACTTAAAGAACATATTCACAGAAACAGGCCTGGTAAAGATTTATGTCCAAAAGTTCAGGTAACGCTAGACCCATGATAAATCCGGCTTAGGGCAAACAGATCATAATTCAAATGCTTGTTAATCGAGAGGTGCCAGGAGTGGCAGGACCTCACTGGTCTTCAAAAGTATTTGAAAGAAAGCCTTAGAGCTCCATCTGTTGGTGAAAACCGTTCACTACAACGCAACCTAAAAAAAAAAAAAACTCAAAAATTAATACTCGATGTGAAACTGCTTTCTTTAGTGTCTTTTCCCCTCCAAAACTTACAGGTAATACATCGGTGGCTTCTTTTAACTCTACAGTAATTTTTAACTACTTTTTATTACATTTAGTTTGACTCAGGTAAATTTGCCAGGAAACGTACTTGTACCTAACACTGTTTTACTCAAGATGTTTTCTTTAGCAGCTGCATTTACAACCCCATTTCCAAAAAAAGTTGGGATGCTGTGCAAAATGCAATGATGTGCAAATCATGTAAACCCTATATTTCATTGAAAACAGTACAAAGACAACATATCAAATGCTAAAACTGAGAAATTTTATTGTTTTTTGAAAAATATGTGCCCATTTTGACTTTGATCGCAGCAACAAGCTCCAAAAAAGTTAGGATGGGGGCATGTTTACCACTGTGTTTCATCACCTCTTCTCTTAACAACACTAAGTATTTGGTAACTGAGGAGACACTGCTGCAGCTTTGAAAGCGAAAATGTTTTTCCATTCTTACTTGATATAGGATTTCAGCTGCTCAACAGTTCGGTGTTTCTCTTGTTGTAATTCTCGTTTCATGACGTGCCAAATGTTTTCAGTGGCTGACAAGTGTGATCTACAGGCAGGCCAGTTTAGCACCCAGACTCTTTTAATACAGAGCCACGCTGTTGTAATACATGCAGAATATGGTCTGGCATTGTCTTGCTGAAATAATCAAGGTCTTTCCTGAAAAAGACGTCGTCTGGATGGCAGCACGTCGCCAAAACGTATATATCGTTCAGCATTAATGGTGCCTTCACAGATGTGCACGTCACCCATGCCATGTGCACTAATGCACCTCTATACCATCATGAATACTGGCTTTTGAACTGTGCACTGATAAGCTGAGTGGTCGGACCACAGGACACTTTTCCACTTCCCCTTTTCCACTTTTTCCATTTTAAACAAGCTCAGGCCCAGAGAAGGTGGCAGCATTTATGGATCCTGTTTATATATGCTTTCGTCTTTGCATAGTAGAGTTTTAACTTGCGTTTATGGATGCAGTGATGAACTGCTTTCACAGACAGTGGTTTTCAGAAGTGTTCCTGAGCCCATGCAGTGATTTCCTCTACAGAATCATGTTCACAGCGTCCCAACTTTTTTGGAAATGAGGTTGTACGTCTGCTCAGACATCATGTCATTAAAATAACACTTTTACTTGAGGCTGGTTTTACGCTACCCTACTCACCTCAATCACAAATCAATGAACACGTAGGATGAACAGTTTTGTATGAGATTCTCACTTTATTGGCTGAGTTCATGAAAGACTACAAAAAAAAAGAGAAAGAAAGACAGAGAGAGATTCTTATTCAAGTAATAAGCTGTACAAACCTAAACCTATCATGTCAAACAAAAACTCTGATTCTATTCTGTCCCTTTTGCTGAGCAGTACACACTAAAGCCAAATCTTACATTATCTGTGAGGGAAAGGGGATAAAAAAAGTAAACATATACAAGAATGCTCAGTACTTTTGTACTAATGCAGCACCCACCTGGCCAAACCTTGCCTACCTGCCTGTTCACTGTGTGAGCTCCTTGGTTTTAAGCTAAAGAATAAAAAGCTCCTACCAGCAGTGCTTCTTGCCCTATCAGAGAAAGCTTAGATGCAGTGGATGATCGCTCATGACACCTGCTGACGAGAGAAGGAAATACTATTTATCGAAGAAAAGTATGTGCCAAAAAGTCCTAACTAATTAAACGTGAAAGATGAGGACAGAAACTGTCAACACACAAGCTTCACATTAAACAGTGGCAGTGATAAAAAACGACTTCCTGTCTTGGACACACACACACTCACACGTTCTCTGCTCAGATTGCTTTTGGAGCTAAAGGTGCGTGCAATCAGCTCTTCCCTATTCAGGGGATCAACAGCTGGACCCTGAGGCTTTGAAGAGTTTGAAGAGAAATGCTTCACTTAGGTCCAATAAAAGATCCCTAAAGAGGGATACACATTTATTATTATAGATCTATGACAAGAAAACTAATCAAATCATTTATAGAAAGTGGTAAAGGGATAATACAAATCTCACCCCATCCGTCCAACAAAACATCGCACAATAAAGTGAGACTAACCCCTCCCGCCCCCCCAGGAGCATGCGCACACACACAATCACATACACCTACTCATACAAGATGTCTCTCCCATGTACCCTCTCACATTCCAGCGAGTCAATCTGGCCATTCCTCCAACAATCACTCATAATTGGTCAACCAAAAAAAAAAAAATAACATTCACAGCAATTTTGCCTCAGGAAAGGCAAAAACAAAACTAAAAAAGGGTCCCACACGCTCTGCTTAGGTGTTCCAGGGTGAAAAGAAGAGGAGAAAAAGGAGAGGTAGAGTAAAGGAGAGGAAGGACGTGTGTACGATAGAGTAGCGGGCGCTATTTCTTGGCTTTGCCTCCCTTGGCGGCGTTTCTTGGAGGTGTGACGGGTCGGCCGGAGCCAAAGCCGCCCGCCCCACCGTAGGCCATTAACTTCTTGTCGGCGGGCTTTAGGATCTGAGGGGGAACACAAGCGAAAACACAGAATTAAATGTAATGGCTAAAATCATGCATTTCCAAGAAACTACTGCACATTCTTAATGTGAAGGCCATGAGATCAAGAAACTGGACTGTCGCCGCTAAAGACATTAACCCGCTATTAAGCTTTAAACTTTGCTATTTTTCTTTCAAACATTTTGCTTCAGCATCCAGCACAGGGGTGTCAAACTCAACCAGTAAAAGAGCCATATTTATTTAAAAAAAAACACACACACACACACACCACATCAAATCCGTGGGCCAGAGAAAATTTTTAATGTTGTGGTGTAACTCAAACTGCCCATTGTTTATTCAAAATATGCAAAAACTTCAGTAGTGTAGTAGTAATGTAGGCACTTGTAGCAGACCTTGAAGTATCAGAACTGTGTGGAATTGAGGTGTAACCACTGTCCCATAGACTGTTGTTTGTGTAGGAGAATTGGAGCACATTACGTTGCAGTGCATACTCGGGAATGTAGTGTTGATTCAAACAGAACCCTCAACGCATCAAAGCTTTTACACCCTAAAAGGCAGGGAGAGAGGTGATTTTGAGCCAAGTCACAGCAGCTGGAAGTGTGTGCACGTACCTGGAAGGAGCACATAAGCGTCTCATCCACACTCATCATGGCACCCGCATTGTCGAACTCTCCACAGTAGTTGGGGGCTGAGAACAGAGTCACAAGCTGCCGCTTTGCAAAAAACTCGTAACCATCTTCCACCACCTGCTCAGAAACAGAGGATTTCCCACGTCAATGGACGCCTTTCCAACAGCTAAGTTACAACCACACCTGTTCTTCTCCAATGCGATACTAAAACCTTGAATATGAATGATACTGATGCTGGGACGACTTTTTATTAAATGAGATATTTCTGACTGAAGTACTTCACAAAGCTGGCCATCTAAAAATATCATGTTCAAACTGCTCAAACGCTTCACTACACTACAGAAAGAAAAACCAACAACAGGACAACAAAAGATCTATTTAACAGAAGTGTAACTGAAAAATGTAATTCTACTGGAATTATAATTGCTATTCATTGCTCTCACAATAAATGCTATGCCACGTTATCATGTGAACTGCTGTGTGTCACGCTAAATTTAAAACCGAATCAGATTCAGTCTTTTCCCCACCTCCAATATCCAATCCAGTGTTTCTGGCTAACATCAGCCCAATACTGATATCAGAACGGTGCCAGCTCTACTCTTCAAACCACATCAAAAATTGGTTGGAGAAGCCAAGAAGGGATGAACTACTATCAAAATTCTAAGCCAATGCAAATGTTTGGGCATAATGAACCAAATTGATCAGATTCTGCACATTTTTCAAGAATAAACCTGCAAAGCAGTGTTTATACAAAAATAAACAAACAAACAGACTTGTATCTGCACAGACAACGACGCAAACTCCTTATTTGCCAATACTGACGCATAATTGCGTATCTCTGGAATCACACTGCTTTTACTTGATGCTTCACTGAGCTGAAGTCCATTCTGAGTTCTACAGACCTGGTGGGCCCTGCAAATGAGGTCCATGTCGTGTTTGTGAAGGAACTTGGCCACCACATCAGAGCCAAATGTGAAGGAGACACCACGGTCGTTCTCTCCCCAGCCCATTACGTCTTTGTCCGGGTCGGCCCAGAGGAGGTCGCACAACAGGCCCTGGTCAGGCACGTCCGTGGGACGCATCACACGCCGGATCTGCTCCATGGACTGGAGGTCAGGAGAGAGGCCTGGAGACACCAAAGGGAAAGTCAAAAAGGAACTCAACACTGAGTCAAAAAAGCCACACATATATATAAACCACATTTTAGTGATTCTTTGCTGATAGGGTTTAGCTATAACCGCAAAGCCACAAAACGCAAGAACTAATATAGAGGAAACCAGTGTAAAGTCTGTTTTATTATGGAAACATAGTACTACAGCTATTTAAAGTGCTTTTACAGAAACCGGTGACAAGGGCAAAACGTCATGAGCTGTAGCCCTAAAAGATGAAACAGTGATGGCCAAAAAAAATGGGGGCAATGCTAAATAAAGGTCCTGGGATGAATCCCCAAGGGTGAAGGCAGCCAGTAAAGTGGGTTAGGCCTGAACAGGGGTTAAAAAAATAAATATATAGAAGAAAGCTCATGAAAAGATGAGGTATTTAACTAATGAAAACCTTGGATACACTACACAACTGTTAAAATGCTAACAAAGTTTTAAAAAGACCGTCTCTCACATTTGAATTCTGTTGAGTTTTTTTGGGCAACTAAAAAATTTGGAATCAAACATTCAGTAGAGCTTGTAAGCTGTTGCTAAAACTCACAACAAAACAAATGTAGATAAAATAGTTTGCCACCTTTTGCAGCAACACAAAGAAGACACAAGTCACATTTGCGAGGCAGTGAACGGGAGATGTGATCGGTGTTGACTAAGTTGTAAAGACAGCCCACTGTCCTCCTGCCATAAACTCAATTAATTCTAAAGCTCTTCTATAAATGTGAGTGTCTGTTCACCGTTTTTCTTACTTTATTTGCAGCATTTACTCTTTTTTTTCCCCCCTCAATTTCTCTGGCTACGAGTGGGACCCATTTAGATTTGAGCCTTTCACCACCATACATTATTAGACTACTGTTACACTACAGCCAACCAGCAGAGACTTTGATATTTGGGGTAAAGTAACTCTGGCTTAACTCCCATACAATTCATACACAAGGTGTAATATTTATATGTACCTCCATGGCAACAGAAAATCTTTTCATCGACAATGGCAGCCACTGGTAAGCAGTTGAAACAGTCTGTGAAGGTCTTCCATAGCTTGATGTTATACCTCCTTTTACCTGCAATCAGAAACAGTCCACAGTTAAAGCATTTGTGGTTAAGAAAAAAAGGCATTCAATCATTCTGGACCACTTACAACCAAATTACACTGAGTGAAACCTTCTGAACCAGAAAAAACGTCTAATCTGTGCCCACAAAGCTCTCAAGCCTTGGCCCCAAGCTGTGAACAATTCAATTACATGTGCACACAAACATAGAAGCAAACCTGTGTGATGGAACCAACAATAGCATTTTACACAGTGCCATTAAATCATTTGATGTCTAAAACACACATATCAGCACTTTTGACAGAAAGGTTTGTGCCGATCCTTCCCTGCATACTCACATTCATCATAAAAACCATATATCCTATTGATGGAGGCACACTCATGGTTTCCTCTGAGAAGAAAGAAATTCTCTGGATATTTGATCTTGTAGGCCAACAGCAAGCAGATTGTCTCCAAAGACTGCTTCCCCCTGTCCACGTAGTCTCCCAAGAACAAGTAGTTGCTTTCTGGTGGATAGCCTCCGTATTCAAACAGCCTTAGCAGGTCGTAGTACTGACCGTGGACGTCACCTGAAAAAATAAGGACAGGGAGGTTACTCTTTTGCAAAGTAGAAAACATTTTAAAGAGACTATTTCCACCTCAACATCAGTTTTACTGCTTTTTTTGTCAATAAAACACACCGCAGATCTTGAGTGGTGCTTCCAGTTCGAGCAGGATGGGCTGGCTGAGGAAAATCTCCCGGGATTTCAGGCACAGGCCGCGGATCTCACTCTCCGTCAGCTGGACATTTTTACCAGGTCTAGAGCCCTTGACTAAAATGAGGGGAAGAAGAGGACGAGGGTCATTAGTATAAATACATATATACACAATATATAGTAGACACTTGAAAACCAGAAAAAAATGAAAACAAATATTTCTCCCACTTATAAAACATCATAAGTTCAGCACATTTCCACTTAAACACCTAGTTAATTAACTTCCTTTGATTAAAACAAATATATAGGTACTAAATACCGGTATATGTAACACCACCTTTTACCATGAAATAAAGTAAACTGGCTGACTACGATATAAATGTAACAGTTAGTTAAAAAATGAAAATAAAAACTAAAGTTTATATGACTAAAATTAATACATGACTTAAAACACAACGACAACCGCCGGAGTGTTTGCTAGCTAGCTAGCCGGTTAGCTACGTTAACAAGCCTATATCTCAACCTTAACTGTTGCCAGAATGTAGAAAAAAGACAACACACATGAAACGAATAACTAAACAGGTTAAATAAATGATCGACATTAGTGAAAAATACGCATACATTACATGCAACGAGAAAATAGACCTCTTTCCGTATAATTCTGCTAGCACCGGGCTAACCGGCTAACCGGCCGAGCGAGGAAAACTTTCAAGAAACTCGGTTAAAACGGTTCACAATAGCGATTTTACCTTCTAAAAGGCGCTGGATGATGGAGTCGATGTTTAATTTGTCGGACTCGGTCATTTTCTGCTCGTTTGTCCCGTTTCTCCTCTCTGGGTAGATCCGCCCGGAGATTACCTCAGACTCAGCCAGCCAACGTTAGCCTAGCCTGCTAGCGGAACGCTAACGACAAACACGCCGCCTTTCGCGAACACACACGGTTTATTTAGTCTAGAAATTAAATATATCTCGGGTAATTGTCAGTAGAACACGCAGACAGTGGCAACAGCCCTGCTCCAGTGACTCATACGAGTATTAATCTTAGTTTTGCCTCCGTCCTTCGGTGGTTAAATCAGAGCCGCCGCAGCTCCGCCGCCGACTGTCTGTCTGTCCGCTTCAGGCGGGTCACATCCAGTTCCTGTCTATAAAACCTGTATGAGCGGCTTCGAGCCGTATCGTTTCATTTTAATTAATAAAGGCGTTTATTTTAAACAACAGATATTGATAGGTACAGCTATTTAAAATACTTATTATTACTATAATTACAATAATTATTATTATTATTTTCATTATTATTATTATTATTAGTAGTAGTAGTAGTAGTAGTAGTAGTATTGTTGTTGGTAGCAGTAGTAACATTAATAGTATTATATTTTTTTATTTGTTTATTTTTTACATTGATTACTATGTTATTAATAGATCACATTAATTGAAACACCTATTATTATTATTAGTAGTAGTAGTAGTAGTAGTAGTAGTAGTATTGTTGTTGTTGGTAGCAGTAGCAACATTAATAGTATTAATGTTATTATATTTTTTATTTGTTTATTTTTTTACTTCGGTTACTTCTGTTTTATTAGATCACAGTCATTAAAACCCCTTTTATTATTATTATTAGTAGCAGTAGTGGTACTATTAGTAATAGCAGTAGTAACATTAATAGTATTATAAATGTTTTATTTGTTTTTTTTTACATTGATTACTTATGTTATGAATAGATCACACTGATCATTGATTATTATTATTATTAGTAGTAGTAGCAGTAGTAACCTTAATAGTATTAGTATTATTAATGTTTTATTTGTTATATTGCAGTCGTTAAAACACTTTACTTTACACATTAATACATACATACATCATCTAAACCGCTTACTTATGACTATCATAGTCATTAAAACACCTATTATTATTATTACATTTATTTAAAAAACATTTGATCGCTGCTTGTGGATTGTTTTTTATTGTTTTAATGTGATTTTCACTTACAACTGAATTTTGTTGCTCTTGGACCGCAGGCCGTAAGCTCATGCCTTCATCCACTGTATTTTGTGGAACCAAAAGCAGAAGGAGACCATGTGGGCATTAAAAACACTTATTTATTTGTTTGTTTGTTTGTTTCACTGCAGCTCCACTAAGCCAGTCAAATGCTCGTTTATATTTTATATTATGCAATTTGAGTAGATCCGGTCCTTTACAGCAGTGACCTTAACAACAAATGATTCACTGCGCCTGTAGATTCCATCTACACCACTAAGCTGCAGATAAGATCTATGTGGAAACATTGCAAGGGTCACAGGAAGTCGCGTCCATGTGCTCAACAGGTGGAAACGTCTTGTACTGTGTTATGTCACCATCTACTGGCTGTGGGTGCTGCAGTTCTAACTCGCCAACATTGAGAAATGATCTATGAAGGCTAATATATTCCATTATCATAAGAATATAACATATATCTACACCAACCAGCCATAACATGAACACCACCTCCTTGTTTCTGCAGTCATTGTCCATTTTATCTGCTCCACTGACCATATAGGTGCACTTTGTAGTTCTACAGTTACAGACTGTAGTCCATCTGTTTCTCTGCATACTTTGTCACCCTGTTCTTCAGTGGTCAGGACCCCCATGGACCCTCACAGAGCAGGTGCTATTTGGGTGGTGGATCAGTCTCAGCACTGCAGTAACACTGACGTGGTGGTGTGTTAGTGTGTGTTGTGCTGGTCTGAGTGGATCAGACACAGCAGTGCTGCTGGAGTTTTTAAACACCTCTGTGTCACTGCTGGACTGAGAATAGTCCACCAACCAAAAATATCCAGCCAACAGCATCCTGTGGGCAGCATCCTGTGACCACTGATGAAGGACTAGAGGATGACCAACACAAACTGTGCAGCAGCAGATGAGCTATCGTCTCTGACTTTACATCTACAAGGTGGACCGACAAGGTAGGAGTGTCTAATAGAGTGGACAGTGAGTTGACACAGTGTTTAAAACTCCAGCAGCACTGCTGTGTCTGATCCGTTTGCACCTGCACAACACACACTAACACACCCCCACCACATCAGTGTTACTGCAGTGCTGAGAATGATCCACCACCCAAGCAGTACCTGCTCCCTGGGGGTCCTGACCATTGAAAAACAGGGTAGCAAAGTATGCAGAGAAACAGATGGACTACAGTCTGTAACTGTAGAACTACAAAGTGCTCCTATATGGTCAGTGGAGCTGATAAAATGGACAATGAGCGGATATACAAGGTAAGTGTACTTAACGAAGTGGCTGGTTAGTGTGTATTACTACAAAACCATCACTATGCCCAGACTGCATAGTGCAGCGTGAATCTACAGTGGATAGAAATTATAGAAATGGCTTCATACTCCAAATGCTGAGATGTAAACAAAGTCATTAGTTCTGGACAAACGTACTGAGTCAGAATTGTTCACAGTGGTGGTGATAGGAACCAGATGTCCACCTCTAAAAGCTCCCTCACAGGCAGTGTTTACATGAAATGGTTACAGATACTCTGTCTTGTCTGAGACCTTTGTTTTATAAGTTTTGAGAAATGCTATTCAGAATAGAATGACATTATGTATATAAACTCAGAAGACTCGTGTAGGTTCTCTGGCGGTTCTGGATAGTAAATAAAATGTCTATATTTGTGTTGTAGTCATTGTGACCCCTGGTTCCTATCATCACCACTGTAAAGACATCGTCAGTAAGTTGCTCTACAAATTAACCATTTCATATTAAACCACCCTGAATGACTCTGTTTACGTCTCAAGGGCTGAATTATCCAGAAATTTTGAAAAAAATGGTGGCGTTCCCCTTTAAGTGTGTCTGGTCTGACTGCGAACGGCCGCGTTGCTTCTCGTCGCGACTGAATGACGCTGCGCGCGGCGCCCCACGTTGCTGAGTCGGTGATTCATTGTGGAGAGAATGGCTGGAGTTTACCGACCAAGACGAACCCAAAACAACGAATTCATGGATTAACACGCCGTAAAACACGTCCACACGTTATTCAAGGCAAAGCAGGAGAGCTGAGCGACCATGAAGCTGCTCCATAAGGACATTGAGAAGGATAATGCGGGGTAAGGGACAGTTTCAGTTACAGTAAGGTAACCTACTAGCCGGCTGGCTAACTCGGTCTGTAACCCAAAACAACCCTCAGAGATCAAAAATCACCCCGTATTTCATCACTTTAAGACCAATTCTGATCCATATTTAGTTTTGTGTTTACGTTGTGATCATAACATTCTTCATAAAGTCTGAATTAAACCGCTTATTATAGCCGTTTTGTGTTGAAGTCGGTTCTGTTGACTGGCGCTGTTTTATCTATTCGGCGTAGGGCGAATTCATGACCACGCCCACTGTCATTTTAACCACGCCCTAGTGTCGACATGACCACGCCCACTAACACCAACGTGATTACGATACAGTCGTTGAGTCTTTGACTCCAACCAAATTCCATATCCATATATTTAGTTATATTTGCTTATTAACACAAATATATTTACTGTTAACCTAATTTGCCAGTGCTCACATATAAAATGCATTAAATATAGGAATTAATTTTCCAAAACTGTTATGTTTCTGGGGAAGGAAGCCACAAGTCCCAGATTTATGTACCAAACAACAAGTCATAATCCATTTTTACATAATCGTTTTCCACCATCTCTTTATCCTTCAGAATTTGACAGGCTGTGTTACTGATTTAACACTGATTTATGTAAATTAACTCTGTTCTGATTGGCTGCGTTATTGTATCTCATTCAAAAAGAACAGTCTGTGCTCAAACACTCCTTATAACTTCAACATGAATATAAGACATCACAAAAACAATGAATTCAAAACAGGCTGTTTGTGCAACTTCAGTTACACGTGAGGACTGGGGAGTGAACGGCACGCTTTGATACTTTAACCGTGTCTAGATACTACATCAAAGTCTTATTTGAAAACATATTGTTATTTATATAAATAAATATATTATTATTTATTACATGAATAAATAACAAGGAAAGATTTGTTTTACTTGCTGGTGTAAAGATGTGACGTCTGGAAACAGTAGATTAGTCTCATGAGATGGAAGTAATTGCGTAACTGTTGGAGAATATTGCATCACTGCAATAATAATAAGATTTCTTTCATTGATTTTGACAGTGCCTCATAAAAGTTTATGGGGGGGTTATTCTTTTTACAGGACTTTTCCTTTAAAGGTGTATGAGGTGTGTAAGATTTAGGGGGATCTGTTAGCTGAAATGGAATATAGTAAACAAAACCATGTTTTCATTAGTGTATAAATACCTGTAACTATAAATCGTTGTGTTTTCATTAGCTTAGAATGAGCCATTCATACCTACACAGGGAGCGGCTCCTCTTCCAACAGAGGCCGCCATGTTGTGCTGCCTTGTTTCTACAGTAGCCCAGAGCAGACACACCAAACACTGGCCTTTTGCGATTTTTAAATTGAAGCGGCTGTCGGTGCTGGCTAACCATTTTGTGTTGTGAGAAGTTTAAGAACCCAAATTTTAACAAATGGAGAATCCTGCTTATTATTTAGCGTAAAAAAGCACAAGAAACACACATAGGAGGTGAGTCTTTGTCATCAGAGAAGCAAAAACATGAAGAAGCAAAAAGAAATTTGGACGGGCGATGGCAGAACACTTGATGGCCATCGTAGGTTCTACTACACGCTTGGAAAGGGAGTGGTGAGGGAGGGGGATTCAGCTGGTTGTGATCTGCACCTTCACCACTAGATGCAGCTAAATCTTACTAACTGCACCTTTAAAAAGGGTATGTTAGAGCAAAGAGGACAAGTCAATGTGTCTGTGCAGGGGGCTACAGGAGTAGAATTGGGGGACCCAGACCTTAGTTATGCTTTGGGATTGATGTCTTATGTTTTTTTCTTTTAGTCAGGTGACACTGATACCCGAGGAGGCAGAGGATATGTGGCACACCTACAACTTACTGCAGGTGGGCGACAGCCTGAGAGCTTCCACCATCAGGTAATGGTGCATGTAAAATAACATTGTCTTCAAACTTTTTATTGTAACACATGTTAAAATAAAATATGCAGAATTATGCTGTTTTTTTGTCTGACCCCAAATGTAGTGGATCAGCTAAGACGTGCTTGGAGTCTGA